GAGGGTGGGCTGGGGGTAAGGGGAGGGTGTGGGAGGGGGGAGAATAGGGGAACCCATGGCTGATATGTAGAACTGAATGGTATTGTAAAATAAAAAATATATATCACAAAAAAAAAAAAAAAATAAAAAAATAAAAATATTCTTAAAAAGAAAAATTTTAAACTTAAAAAGTTAAATAAATATATGGTCATTGGAGAAAACCATAGGGAATATTAAACTCTCCAGAGAAAGTACAAACAGTATTCAATTCCAGTGACCAAAGAGAACCACCCATTCATTCATTTGTCTTCCTACAGGAGGTCTTAGAATCTGGTGGTGTTGATTCATGTCAACATGGCCTTTCAGCTAAGCTTTGAAAGACACAGGGTGAGAGAGAATTAAAGAGCACTCCACAGGGGAGGGTCATTGGTCCATGGACTGCATCCTGCTGATGAGGAGGAAGGCCTGGATATGAGGCTGCAGACACCAGTAGGTCCCAGATTGCAGCTGTAAAGGAAGCTCCTCCCCCTTGGACAGTTTGCCCTTGCACTTACCTCTGCCAGCTCCCTGAGGGTGCGTGCTCCGCAGGCAGCACCATTGCAGCCACACACTGCACTCTGGGAGGAGATTGCCCTTGACCGGAGTAGTCTCTGCTTCCTCCCTGTGGTATATCCACTTCCCTGCTCTGCTTCTGAATTCATGCCCATCCATCTTTCCCTTCTTTGAGGGCTGTTGCTGGCTCCCTAATGAGTCAGATCCTGGGCCGCCCAGAGTTTTGTGTTGCTTTGCAGTGGCATCCTTGCATTTGGAATGGGTGTGTCTACAGAGCACCCTTGGGTGGGTACTTCTTACCTTTCCGGGGAGATGGAAAAGCTGGTGACTAATTGGGTCAGGGAGTCCATTGCCACAGCCACGAGCAGGTACACAAAGGTCCTTGTGCCCTTCCCAACACATTTGCTCAGCAGCTGCTCTGCACCCTATAAGGCTATTCAGAGATCACAGGTGACCGGGCCAGGGCTGACTCTCAGTTGGGGAAGGCTTACTGGAGGCAGTAACTTGGAAGGAAGGTGAAGAACACCAAGCTTGGCCGAATGAACAGAGGGGATGAAGATGGGGATGGGTATTCCAGGCTACCGAGCTGTGCAGACAAGGCCAGGAGACACAGCGCTTTCGAAGAACTGCCAGTGGTGGGGGTCCACTGCCAGATGTGGAGTGGTACCCCCAGAAAGGAGTGCTGAGCCTGGAGGTTTCCAGCCCGCAGAGCCTCACAAAGTGGGCCTACCATGTCTCCTAGTAGCTTCTGGTCTTGACCCTCAGTGCAGGAGAAGCCCCTCTGTTTCTGGCTAGTATAACCCAAGGCCTAAAGCCTGCACTTTTAACCATCTCTCAGAACCCCCTGGTAGATGGTCAGGCTCCCACTGTCCACAGCAGCACCTCCTAATGATTCCTTTGGGGCGTTCTTCCTTTCCCTCTTTCCTTCCCCAATTCACTGGTCTTTTCTGAACTCCCCTTCCAAGTGAGCTGTGTCCTAGGCAACCCAAACTAAAACTACGATGGTTAGAATAGGAGTCCCATAGAGGACAGTGGAGAGTGTCAGCCAGGCTCTGCTGCCCACAGAAGGATGGGGTCAGACTTGAGGCCGTTATGACTCTGCCTGAATTGGTGAGGGCTGGACAGGGAATATGGGAACCTGGCCCCTAGAACCTCAAGGCTGCCCGTGGCTGCTCTCCAGCACCTTTGATGTTCTTGGCACCTATCTGAGCATTGGTGTGCATTTTCTCATGGGCTCAAACAAAAGCCTTACAACTGGGGCCACAGAGAGATTGAGCCACCTCGTCCTGATCACACAGCAGGAAGTGATGGTGTGGAGATTCGAGATCCAAATGTGTCCTTTTGTTCCTAGGCAGTTCCTCCTGCCTGTTGCTTTCTGTCACTTTTGCCAACACCATCCCGATATCCCAGGGGAGAAACTGCTATCCCGGGTTCAGTTTCCTCTAGTAAATTCTGCTTCTGCTTTACTGTAGGTAAGTTTGAGGACAGGGAAGACCGTGTGCCCAAATTGGAGCAGATAAACAGTACGAGGATCCTGAGCAGCCAAAACTTTTCCCTCACCAAGAAGGAGCTGCTGGCCACAGAACTTCTGCTCCTGGAGGCTTTCAGCTGGGACCTCTGCCTGCCCACACCTGCCCACTTTCTGGACTACTACCTCTTGGCCTCCATCAGCCAGAAGGACCACCACTGCCACACCTGGCCCACCACCTGCCTCCGAAAGACCAAAGAGTGCCTGAAGGAGTATGCCCACTACTTCCTGGAAGTCACCCTGCAAGGTGAGGGCACAGAGGCAGTGGGGGGGGGGAGCCCAGGGGCTGGGATGGAGTGGCTCAAGAGGGGTGTCATCCAGAGAGGGCCTTCTTTCATGCCCGGAGTCCCCACACCCACATCATTCCCCCTTTGCAAAGAAATGCAAGGATATGCCCAGAGATGCAGAATAACACATAAACAAAATAGCAGCTAACACAAAAGCCACTGGTACCCAGAGACTAGCAGCTCACCTGGGAAGTTTTCACAAGTGGCTCATTCCCAAAGATCTGCCATCACAGATTAAATAGAGTTTGAGGGGAGGTGACAGCGTTCTTCTCATCTGCGTTAGCAGTAAGTTGGCTTCTTTGGGGGCTGGGAAGACAGCTCAAGTGATAATGTGCTTGCTGTGAAAGCATGGGGAGTTCTGAGTTCAAGATGCAGAACCCACATAGAAAGCCAGACATGGTGACACACTCCCCGGTAATCCCACAGCTAGGGAGGCGGAGACTAGAGAATCCAGGTGCTTGCCATTGTAATCCCTCAGGTCCCAGTACGAAACCCTCTCTCCAAGAGCAAGGTAGAGGGCGCCCAAGGAACGGCACCTGAGGTTGACCTCTGGCATCCAGGTGCACACCTGCCAATATGTACACTCGGGAGCAGGGGGTGCTGGGGCTGGAGAGATGGCTCAGAGGTTAAGAGCACTGGCTGCTCTTCCAGAGGTCCTGAGTTTCATTCCCAGCAACCACATGGTGACTCACAGCCATCTGTAATAAGATCTGATGCCCTCTTCTGGCATGTAGGCATATACACAGGCAGTATAATGTGTTCATACACATTGAATGCATAATAAATAAATCTTTTTTAAAAAACAAAATATGTGCACCCACACACATGAAAACACACAAGTTACCCTGTTTGGAGAAAAACAATAATCTCACTCTGTGTGTGTGTGCATAAGTATGTATGCACACACACACACACAGAAGCCAAAAGAGGGCAATAGGCCCATCACTCTCCACTGTTCCATTGAGGCAGGGTCTCTCCTTGAACCTGGGGCTTGCTCTCAGCTAGGCTGGAAACCAGCAAACCACAGTGTTCTTCCTGTCTCTGCCCTCATCAGAGATGGGGTTTCAGGCAATGGCAGGATGCCCAACTTGTTTTGTGAAAGTTGGGATTTTTCTCCATGAGTGTAGAGTAAGCACTCTTTAAAGGTGCATTTCTGCAGCCCTCCAAACCAGACTTTTAAATCTAGATGTTAGGTGAGATGCTGGTCAGAAACACTATTGGTACATCTGCTCAGTGACACACCAAAAGACAAAAAAGCCCAGAGCAGGGATAGTGATGATTTTTCATTATCCAGCATTGGTTGAGCACTTACTGTGTGCCTTCCTGCAGACCTTTGTGTACATGAACTCATCTGAACTTCACAGTGACCCTGTGCTGGCTAGTTTTATGTCAGCTTGACACAAGCTAAAGTCAACCCAAGAGGAGGAAGCCTTAACTGAGAAAATGTCTCCGTAAGATGGGGCTGTAGGCAAGTCTGTAGGGCATTTTCTTTATTAGTGATCAATGGGGGAAGGCCGAGCACCACATTGTGGGTGGTGCCATCCCTGAGCTGGTGATCCCAGGTTAAAAGTAGGCTGAACAAGCCAGGGGAAGCAAAGCAGTACACAACACCCCTCCATGGCCTCTGCATCAGCTCCTGCCTCCAGGTTCCTGTCCTGTTTGAGTTCCTGTCTTGGCCTCCTTCAGTGGACTCTATATAAGTCAAATAAACCCTTTCATCCCCAAGTTGCTTTGGTCATGGTGCTTCACCACAAAAATGGTAACCCTAATAAGACAGACCCCTTTCAAAATAGTTTCAGTCATTCCCATTTTATAAATGGGGAAATGTATACTCAAGAAGTGAAATCACTTCCCCAAGGCCACTGACAGCATTTGAAGCTGGAAGTCTGACTCTATGACTCTACTTATAATTATACCACTCTAACTGATGGATACTTTCAAAGGCAAAACTTGTAGTAATTGAAAGTTATGAGCAATTGATAACAGATAGTAATGCACTGGACCCTGAGTATCATCATTGAAAAGTATAGGAATGCTCATTGTATCCATTCACCATAGCTTCAGTTGTCTTAATGGAACATAAAATTTCTTGGGTTGGTGAGATTGCTCAGTGGAAAGATGGGGCTGTTTGATCCCTGACTCTCACTTGGTACAAGGAAAGAATCGACTCCCTCTGACCTCCACATGTATGAATATCGGACACTTCATGTGCCTATACAGTGACATAAATAAATGTGATTTAATCTTTTTAATATTACTTCATAAACCTAGACAAAGTTATGAATATCAAACTTGTACAGCCATTCATTTGGTTTTCATCCGATTTCCAGTGTCTGCTGAGGACCAGACATGGTTGCTGTACACACAGCCTTTAGTCAGACTCTGTCTATTAATAATAATCAAAAAAAAAAAAAAAAGAATAGAGATCTTTGTGGTTCTGTTTGTAGCCCATCAGCAAGCACCTTTACAGCATTCTGGGAGCTGTAGACATTTTGAAAAATTATCCCTCTAGGCTGATGCCGGAAACCACAGACTGCATGCTGAAACCTTTAAGACCCAACAATGGCACCTGGTCTCTTCTTACCCCATTTGTAAAAGGCCAGCCTTGCATAGCCCTTCCTTGAACTGACTCATTTGTCTGCTGTTGGGCGGACCAAGCAGGAGACTCCATGGAGACGCTTTCCAGTGCTTACACCCTCTGCAATTCTCTTTCAGATCATATCTTTTACAAATTCCAGCCTTCTGTGGTCGCTGCAGCCTGTGTGGGGGCCTCCAGGATCTGCCTTCAGCTTTCTCCCTACTGGACCAGAGACTTGCAGAGGGTCTCCAGCTACTCCCTGGAGCATCTCAGCACATGTATCGAAATCCTGCTGGTGTAAGTCCTCGCCTGGTTGGCTAAGTTTATGAAATACTGACCTTCTATTTGCCCTTGGGGCCCCACCCCAGTGGGGGTGGGGGGGATGTTCCTGAGTCTGGGGCAGATGGTAGTTCCCCCAGGTAAGGTGTTGGATGTAAAGGAGCAGAGTGCCCCCTGACAGAAGTGGTATTGTGGAAAGCGGGGTATGGCAGTATGCAACTGTAATCCTTGAGAAGCTGAAACAGGAGGATTGAAAGCTGGAGGCCCGCCTAGGATAAATAGTGAGACTCTGTCTCAAAAAAAACCAAGAAGTGGGGCTTAGAGAGTTGCCTATTTCTCTTTGTGTTTTTAGGATTGGGAAGGAGGGGAAAGAGGACCGGGGCTGGGGACACCTGCTCCTATATGTCTGGACTCATCCTATCATTTTGTTTCGTTATTGAGACCGGGTGTCATGTAGCCTAGGCTAACCTCAATCTCATTATGTAGCTAGTGGGGTCTCCTGGGACTTCCGATCTTCCTGCTGGTATTATAGGTGTGTGCCACCAGGCAGGTACTCTTCTCAGCTGAACTCCCTCCTGTATGGGCTAATTTCTAATGTCCAGTGTGATTTCGTGAACGATCGTGAATTCAATCTCTCATCGAGTTCCTTTTCTCAGGCAAGCTGCGAAGCTGATCACTTAGCCAGCCAAGTCCAGAGTGTCTTCAACTAAGAGGTCACAGCCTCCTTTCAAGGGTCATCTTAGATCTAACACTGTGAAATAGAGATTGGCAGCCCAAGAGGTCTGTAATGGCTATCGGGAGGAGGGCAGACAGGACAGAACAGCCCTTAAGTGGCTACCTCCAGTCAACTCCCTCTTCTACCAGCGGATAGCAATGACCTCTGTGTGCTGGCCTAATTGATCAGAGGTCTGGGAGGCCGAAGCAAAAGTCCTTCAGCCTCTGAAGAGCCATCACTCAGCTTCCCAATGTGAGCAGCTTGGCTGTGCTACCTGCTCTGAAATGTTAGTCCTGCTCCCTAGGCCGTGTCTTGAATCGTATGCTTTTAGAAGTCCTCAAGTCAAGCTTGGTGGTGGCGGCGGCGCATGTCTTTAATCCTGGCACTGAGGAGGCAGAGGCAGGTGAAGCTCTGTGAGTTCAAGGCCAGCCTGGTCTACAGAGTGAGTTCCAGGACAGCCAGGGCTACACAGAGAAACTCTTCCCTCAAAAAGCAAAAAGTCCCCAAGTCAGAACACAGCTTGTTTTGACAACTGATGGCTGCTCCATTATCAGCTGCCAGGCCAGCCCTGTTCATCCCAGCTGGCTGTCACCCTGGGAAATCCTTGCTCAAATAAATTCTAGACTCCATAGGCTCCTTTCTTCCAGATGACTCTGTCTTTACTTTCTCAAAAAGTTTTGTTTGTTTAAGATGGGGGAAAATAACAAAAAGTATCTGTTGTGTCCCCTCTTTTCAAATGTCTCCTTGGTGTCCAGAAGCTAAGGATTTTCCCATCTGGGGACAGAACTGGCCCGGAAGAACCTAGAGAGTAGTGCTGGTACTCGGCCAAGTGCTGGAATGCAGGAGTGAACAGAAGCAGATGGGACCCAAATTACCCTCTGAGGTTTTAACAGCCCACATGTGTTGGTACAGGGGCTCCAAGGACAAGGTCAGCTGATCTTGCACAGGATCAGAGAGGTGGGACGGAAGCAGCTCCAAGCTGAACCCTGGGGCCAGAGTCTAGTTGGTGAGCAGGCGAGGCTGTGTTGTAGCTTGCCGCCACAGACTGGTATAGCATGGTGCGCCATTCTCCCGGTGCCACCTACTGGGGAAGGTAAGCAGGTGTCTGGTGACGTTTTCTCTCCAAGGCTCACCTGAGTCTTTTCCTTTCAGAGCATATGACAATGTCCTCAAGGATGCAGTTACAGTCAAGAGCCAGGCACTGGCCATGGTGCCTGGCACATCACCAGCTCCCACCCAAGTGCTGTTCCAGCCGCCCGCCTACCCTGCGCTCAGCCAACCACCGCCAACACTAGCCCAGTTCCAGAGTCCAGCGCAGGACTTGTGCTTGGCTTATCGGGACTCATTACAGGCCCATCGCTCAGGAACCCTGCTCTCAGGAGACACTGGTCCATCCCTCCACACCCCATACCCAACCCTCCAACCCTTGGATATGTGTCCTGTGCCCGTCCCTGCATCCCTTAGCATGCAGATGGCCATTGCAGCTGAACCCAGGCACTGTCTTACAGCCACCTATGGAAGCAGCTACTTCAGCGGGAGCCATATGTTCCCCACAGGTTGTTTTGACAGCTAGGCCACATTTGGACCACATGGAGAACTCTGGAAGACCCAGACTGAAGAAGTGAGCACCTAAGAGGGAGAGTTCAGCCAGGTGAGGGAAAGAACCTGGTACCCTTCAATAGTGAGGGTCTGTGTGCTTTAAACAAACAAACAAACAACCCAGAGCAAACATCCAGGGACATACCTCACCCAACAGCATCTCTCTGGGAACCTCTTCCACGAGTGCCTGGAGGACAAAGACATGACTCTGTGGCCATTCACTCCCTTGAGCTGGGGGATCCAATGGAGCACATCAGGCCTGATGAGAGGCTTGGACATTGAGGCCTGCATAGACATCAGTAGCACATCTGGACTTTTCAAAGACTACTTTTCACAGCTATGCCAGTGAAAAAGAAGGGGCAGTTGGGTGGTGGAGGCGCACGCCTTTCATCGAAGCGCTCGGGAGGCAGAGGCAGGCGGATCTCTGTGAGTTCGAGGCCAGCCTGGTCTACAGAGCAAGTTCCAGGACAGCCAAGGTTACACAGGGAAACCCTGTCTGGAAAAAAACAAACAAAAGCAAAGAAAGAAAGAAGTGGCACCTGGCATGTCCTCTGTGTCTCTAGAAGATCCTTCCTGAGTGTGTTTCTCGCCTTAGCTCCACACCAAGGGCCCCTTTACCCCGTGTTTATGCCTGAGCACTGGCCCCTGGAGGCACAGTGGCTATCTTGCCCTTTCGTTTTTGAACCCAAAACCTTTTTTGTCCTTCTCAAGATTTCACATGCTGCTGCTGCTTCCCGGAACAATCTAGCTTTCTATCCCACAAAAAAACAAAACAAAACAAAAAACAACAACAACAAAAAAAAACCCATCTTGTTTACATACTGTGTCAGGGATTTTGTGATACTTGAAAATTCCGTAGGAGAAAAAAGTTTGAATTGCCACACTGTCTGTCCCATGTTGAGGCTGTATCTTTTACGAACCCAGCTTGTGAGCAACTGGTTGGTGGGTAAGAACAGCAGGGAGAGAGAGCACCTCCCAGGCTCCTGGCTCTGGAGTCCGCCCCTGGGATGCTAGGCTTCACCTGTTGAACTTGGATCACTGCCCCCTGGCGGGGGGCTGTTGTGGAAAGGAAGACAAAGGTTTGAACAGGTCGGTCCTCACTTCCCTCCACCACACACAGGCTTGTAGTGCTAAGGGTGAACTGCCCCCAGCTTTGTTTGAGTTTGGCCAATAGTAAAGGGTAATAATACTGTGGAATATTTGAGAAGTGGGGGGTGGGGGGGACGAACATGGTCTATGACACCAGCATTGACAGGCAAGGGATTGCTGGAGCAAAAGCCAGTGTCTGGGGATCTGCAGTGGGAGGGCTCAGGAAGACTGTCACCATGTGCAATATGTTAGGACTGACTCATACATAGCCTGTGCTTAGGATGTGCTTGTGGTTGGTTTTGTTTTGTGTCAGGGGACATGCTGTTCACCCATCAGAATTGGGAGGGAGGTGCAAAAGACCACAAAAACAAATTGTAGTTTTGTTTTTGAAAAGATTGTGTCTAGGTTTTTTTTCTTCTTTCTTTGGTAGCGGGGGCTGGGGGCGGTTCCTTTAATTTCGAGGCAGGTCTAATGTAGCTAAGGCTAGCCTCAAACCTAGTACATAGCCAAGGCTGTCCTTGAACTCCTGATCCTCGTGCTTCAGCCTCCCCTGTATGCCACCACACCTCGCCTCCCATCTTGGTTCTCTCTGACTCGCTTGCCAATCCAAGAGACCATAGCAGGGATGGCCAGGGAGGCGGCCACAGGCTGCTGAGTCGGATGCGACAGTGATGGGACTTTTCTGAGCAGTTGAACTTCTCACGGAAAGTGAATAAGGAAAGAGCTGGATGCAGATGAGGCGCTGCCATTTTGTCAGTTAGCATAGGAACCTGCACATTGGTTTGTTAGTTTTGGTGTTTTTGGCTCCCACCCCTCCACCCCCATTACCAGTCTCTTTGTATTTATGTGCAACTGGTTTGGAGTTATTGTATCTGTCTGTTCTGGGCTGGGGCTTGTGAGAAACATCTCCACTGGGGCCCCAGAGCTAGCCTGATTCCCAGGACCAGGTGTCCTGCAATAAATACATCACCTGCTCTTGGTCTCTTCCTTCTTTGTCCAGACATCTCTTTGCAGGCCAGCCCTTCCCCTCCTCTCTCTAGCCCACCTCCGTGGGAGTCTTCCCTGGATGAGATGTTAGAGAGATCAAGGGATTTATGAGTTTTCTCATTGCTGTGACAAAATGACCCAGTAGAACAACCTAAAGGGGAAAAAAATGTTTGTTTCTGCTCCTGGTTTGAGAATGCAGTCCACTGTGGCAGGGAAGCCATGGTGGGCAAGAACAGCTGTGATGGCCATGGCAGGAGTATGAGGCTGCTTGCTCACATCTCCATGAATCAAGAGCAAAGATGGGACAGGAAGTAGAGCCAGGCTGTCAACATCAAGACTGGGTCCCTAGGAATCTACTTCCACTAGCTAGGTCCCAACTCCAAAAGGTTCCACAACCTCCCAAGACAATGCCACCAGCTGAGGACCAAATGTTCCAGTAAGTGAGCCTGTGAGGGACATTTTACAATATTGGATACATCAGCAGCAACACCAGCTGCTCTGGACCTGAGCCTTTCCCTCTAAGCAGGAACTGGGCTTCCCTGGGCAAAGGAGTATGTTGTTGGTTGTTTTTACTCTTTACTCTTTGAGGGGCACACCACCCAGCTCCCAAATAAATCACACAGAGAGGCTTATTGTTTCCTATAAAGAATAAGTGTGGCCTTAGTTTGGCTTATTTCTAGCCAGCTTTTCTTAAATTATCCCATCTTCCTTTTGCCTCTGGGCTTTTACCTTTCTCTATTTCTGTATACCTTTCTTTACTTCTTACTCCGTGGCTTGCTGTGTAGCTGGGTGGCTGGCCCCTGGAGTTCTCCTTCTCTCACTCGTAGATTTCCCTCCTTTTCTATTTCTTCTCTCTGCTTGCTAGCCCTATCTATCCTTTCTCCTGCCTTGCTATTGGCCATTCAGCTCTTCATTAGACCAATCAGGTGTTTTAGACAGGCACAGTAACACAGCTTCACAGAGTTAAACAAATGCAACATAAAAGAATGCAACACATCTTTACAACATTAAACAAATGTCCCACAGCACAAACAAATGCAACACATCTTAAAATAATATTCCACAACAGGAGTATGTGAAGCTTGACCTGCCAACTCTACTCCTGCATTAATCATCACTGTTCAGAGGCAAACCAATAATAGATTCACTACAAGGAATTTGGTCGCACAACCATGGAAGCTGGCAAACCCAGAATTTTTAGAGTGCATGCCAGCAGGGCGAAGAGGCTGCTACAGCAAGTCAAGTCTAAAGTTTGCAGTGTGGGCCGGTAAACCAGGAACTTGGGCAATTTATTGCATCCTGGAGGCAAAATTCCTTTTTTTTTTTTTTTTTTTTTTTTTGCTCTTAAGGCCTTTCCCTGATTAGAAAGGACCCACTCCCCTGCTGTTCTTGAAGTCACACATCTAAGAAATAATCACATCTGGAAAAAAATCTTCACAGCAACACCTAGACTAGTTTTTTGGGGGTTTTGTTTTTTTTGTTGTTGTTGTTGTTGTTTTTTAATCAAGTAACTGAGCACCATAGATTCCCAAGGTGTTGGGAGACAAATTGGCCAGCCCCTTCCAACCTGTCTTCTTACCTACTAAAATGGGTGTGGTGACAGCACTTGCCTATTGGGGTCTCATGATCAACAATATAATGTACACCAAGGCCAGTACCTCCTAATAAGAGGTGGTTATTATACAGCTCCTCAAATGTAAGATGAAGTGTTATTACAACAATGAAGGTGTTTCGTTTGCAATAATAGCAGACTATGTTGCCCAGGCTGGTCTTCACCTGACCTTCCCATCTTGGCCTCCCAAGTAGCAAAGACAGATGCAGGAGGACACTGCCTGGCTAGGACACCTTCCAAGGGCTGGGAATGAAGCTCGGTGACAGGGCTGAGTACAGGGTGGCAGTGTACTTGGCTAGCATGCACAGAGATCTGGTCACAGCTCCCAGCAACACAGAAGGAAAAGGCAGAGAGAAAAAAGAAGAAAGGGAAAAGGGGGCCGAGGAGATGGTTAAGTGGGTAAGGTGCTGACGGTACAAGAGTGAAAACCTGAGGTCCAGCCTCAAGAACACACATCTTTCTTTATGTGCCAGATACAGTAGTGTATGTCTGCAATGCCAGCACTTAGACAACAGGTTGGGAGTTGGAGATGAGACTCTCCAGATACTCTGACCTGGCATATGCAGCAGCAAATAAGAGAACTAGTCTCAAGCAAGGACCAATATCAAAAGTTCCCTCTGACCTCCACACATGTCATGACATGGATCCACTCACAGGAACACATACATTATACATAAAAAAAAAAATTTTTTTAAAGGTAAAACACAAGCCAGCCATGGTGGCCTGTGCCTGTAATTCTTGCACTCAGTGGGATCAAGCAGGAGGTTTGTGTCTTTGAGGGCCAGCCTGAGCTACACTGAGAGCCTAATTCAAAAGCCACGATGTGTGTGCTAGAACTATGGTGGAAAAGGTCCCAGTCCACTGCTCCTGGCCCCTCTGCTCTGTCCTGCAGGAAAACCATTGTGAGCTGCTGTCGTGGGGCTAAGGGGTATTCACCCAGCACAGATGCCTTGCTGGGTGACATTTTATGGCATGAAGAGTAGGACCAGACTGTGAAGGACATTTGGGGACCATGTCCATTGGTAGAGAACTGGAACACTCAACCCCTGCACACAAGACTCACTGAGGCAGGGGCCTCTAGGTTTGGAGGATGCTGATAAAATAAATTGAGTTCACCAAGAACAATGGATTCACTTTGGACACATCCTTTCCTGTGGCTTTACTCCCCATCTGTTACCATGGAGACCATTGAACTTTTGGCCTGAGAATAGCTCTGGGCAAAGCTGAGGCACAGAGTCACAGCTCCAGCCTTCAACCAGAGGGATCACACAGACATGGGTATTCTGCTTAAGGCTTTGTTGCCATACCAGATCATGACTAGAAAAGGTTAAAAAGCAGAGATGGCCGGGCATGGTCACACACACACACACACACACACACACACACACACACACACACACACACCTTTAATCCCAGCAGACAGACTGATCTCTCGGTCTGTCTACATAATGGGTGCCAGGGCTACCTGTCTATAAACAAAAACAGCAGCCACAAAGCATGGAGAAGGCATTAAAGGCTCCCCCAGGCCTGCTATCTCCATGAGGACAGCAGACCAGACATGCGCGAGCTGCAGAATGACCTGGGGTCCTCTGTAATTGGGATGGGACACAGAATCAACATGTTTAGTCAGCTTCCTCATAAATACAGATGTGAGAATTCTTCAGCTATCCAAGGAAAGAGTAAATGTGCAAGGTCCTCAGAGGAGAATCCACATCTGGACCCTGTGAGTTCCTAGCTTCTCTGTTGTACCGGGTATGGGAGTACACACCTTTACTCCTAGCCCTCCTGAGGGCTCAAAGATCTCAAAAACAACCCAAAAAAACCTACCTTGATTCTATATAGTATTTCTTTGAGCTGGGAGCTGTGTGAAGGGTGGAGACAGCCAGACTCCTTTTCCAAGGAGAGCCTGCTTCCTTCTAGGATCACACTATAAATGCCTGGTCCCTGACTGCAAAGCTGTTTGACCTCTCTCATCTGGATTGTTCCCACTTCATCCCATTGAGATGGACTCCTTTCCCATCATTCCAGCAAATTGCAGCCAGAGTCACACGGGGACCAAGAGAACATTTAGTAACAATCGAGCGATACAATGTGTTCCTGTAACTGAGGGTATCTGCTCTTGGTACCCAGTGGGTAGAGATTGGGGGTGCTGCCGAACATACTACATGTAGAGGACAAAGCGCCCCCCTCCCCCCATGGCAAAGGATGCACCAGCCACAGATGGCCGGATGGATTCTGGGGCTGAGGAGCCCGACTGAGGTCTTGGTAGGTGGCAGATAAGCCTCTGCAGTAGCCCTGGGTGCACTCACTACTCCTGTCTCTGCTCCCAACCTGAGATGCACTTGCTCATTTGTCTACTTGGTGTGACAGTGACGCCCTAAGCCGGAGCTCGTGGAACTTCCCCACTCGCTGCCCCCAAGCCCTTTTCACCCAAGAAATTTTTCACGTGACCCAGGTATATAGAGGCATAGAATAAGCATACAAATAAGACATTTACTGACAATAAATCATACTCATCTTAAAAACAACTCTTTGGTACATATAATTTAGGACTTATTAACACAGATTCGCATACTGATAAGACAGATACGCCTTACAGACTTTTTACATAAAAAGTTAAAGTTTTGGCTGAAAGTTTCATGCTTCAGAACATACTGGCATCTTTGATAGCTATAAAGTAAATTTGAGAAAAGCCTGGGCTAGATACCTTGTGACAATCAATTAATAAACAAATATAACTTTTTAAAAATTAGACATTCTAACATGGTACAACCGAAAGATAGACTAATTCGACACATGATGAAGAATGGTGGTAGGGAAATATTGCATGCCTTTGCTTCCCATAACTGAAGCATTATATGTGTATAAGAGTAAGAAACCTTGAGGGGCGGTGGTGATGACCCAAGCCTTTCATCCTTCATGCCAGCACTTGGAAGGCAGACACCGGTAGATCTCTCTGAGTTTCAGGCCTACAGAGTGAGTTCCAGGACAGTCAGGGCTACACAGAGAAACCTTGTCTCAAAAAGGAAAAAAAAAAAAAAAAAAAAAAAACACCTGTGGTCTCCATTAGGGAATGAAGCCCGGTTCCAATACTCTAAGAACATACCCTGCTTCCTGCTGTATGACCTTAAGTGGACCTCTCCCCATCTCTGAACCTGTTTCTATATCTGTGAGATGTATCTTTGTCATGAGCTAAGGTTCTTTGATTACATATTCCCTGGGTCTGGGAGACTCTCAACACAGACTTAAGACTTTCTCCTTCTCTGTCAGCTATTTGAATTTATGTTATTTATTTGTTTGTTTGTTTGTTTATACATGTATTTATTTATTTTGTGTGTGTGTGTATGCACGGATATGTGTGGTGTTTGTGTATGGAGTATGTACTTGTTAGTGTGAGTGTGGGCAATTGCACATGCATGTGTGTGGGCATGCATATGGAGACCAGAGTTCAACCTCAGGTATCTTT